CACACCCACTGCCATGGAGTCTATTCTGACTCACAGCGCCCCTAGAGGACAGAGTGGAACTGCCCCCACAGGGTTTCCTAGGATGAAGTGGGAAGGTGGAGATAATGCCTGACCTCTGCTTTGTGGGAACAGCTTTGTCCTGACCCTGATTCTTCTCCCTCATAAGTGCAGACAATTCCTTGTGTTGGATTACAAGGGAGGATGCAGAGATCAAGAGGTGGGAGTAGGGAAACCCTTGGGTGGTTGTGGCAAAAGACAGCATCCCAGTGGGGACAGCTGTCCCATCATTGTCCTTGATGGGAATGGGCACAGCTGGGGAAAAGGTGGGTGGGGCCCCCCATCTGCCATGATGCTGATCCCCTACCCCCTCTATGTCCCATGATGCTGACCCCGTGCTCCCCTCTGCCCCAGGTGAATGGCAGTGAGCAGACAGTGGTCACTTTCTTCATCATGCCGGCTCGGACCAACAATTTCAACGTGGAGACCCTCAAGGGCCAAGCCGTCCGCAAGCAGCTTTGGTCTGTAACCCTCAGCCCCAGATCCCAGCCTGACTCACCCTCAGTTGTGTGGGTTGGGCCCAATGTTGCTCCCACAGTGACATTGGTCATCTTTCACATGAGAAACCTGCCACATCAGTTCCTAGTGAAGTCACTTGCTTATGACACCTCCATGGGGCGTGGGGAGGTGGAGATCAGTAAGAAGTTACAGGTGGGACAAGGGTGACGCTGAACGAGGTCTCTGATGGCACTGGGGAGATTCCACTCATGCCTCCAAGCCTCCCTGGCTGTGTGACTTTAGGCAAACTACTGCCCCTCTCTGAGCCTCAGTTTTCCCATCTGTAAAACCGATTCATTCATTAACCAGCTGGTAGTCATTGATCGAGGAGTGGTGGTTCCAGGGTCGAATTTTAATTTTCCATACGGGAGACGCAGTTTCGATTCCCAACCAATCCACCTCGTGTGGCCACTGCCCCATCGGTCACTGGAGGCTCGCCTACGGCTATGATGCTGAACAGGTTTCAGCGGAGCTTCCTGACCGAGGCAGACCAGGAAGAAAGGCCTGTATCAACTTGTAAAAACCAGAAACTTAAACACATCACAACGTCTGCCTGACCCGCCACTGATCATGGGGATGGCGAAGGCCCGGGCGGTGTTTCGTTCCGCTGTGTGTGGGTCACCGTGACTCAGGGCCAACTTGACAGCACCTAGCAATGAAAGCATTCGCGAGGCAGCTGTGTGCTGGGGCCACAGCTGGGAACCACAAAGATAAAATCCCTGCTGTTCTGCAGCTGAAATGCTCAGTGCGGTAAGCACACAAAATAATAAACTCATTCCATTGAAAGCACTCGGGCAGAAAATAAAGCAGGACTAAAATATGAAACCAAAAGATCTGCAGTTCCAACTCACCAGCTGCTTGGCCAGAGGATGAGGCAGTTGACTCCCATAAAGATCGACAGCCTTGGAGACCCTGTGGTGCAGTTCCACTCTGTCCTCTAGGGGCGCTGTGAGTTGGCATTGACTCAGCCTCAGTGGGTGTGGTTTTGGCTTTGCTTCTGTAAAGATTGACAGCCTTGGAGACCCTGTGGTGCAGTTCCACTCTGTCCTCTAGGGGCGCTGTGAGTCAGAATGGACTCCAGGGCAGTGGGTTTGGTTAGGGCTTTGCTTCTGTAAACATTTACTGCCTTGGAAACTCAATACCGGTCGCTATGACTTGGAATCAATTTGATGGCAGTGAGTTTGGTTTTGAGTCTGGAAATATGTAACAGGGTTGTCAGGACATACCACACTGAGAAAAAGCCATTGGACAGAAACTTAAAGGAAATGATGGCGTGTGTTGTTTGAGGCCGTCATTGCCAACTCTTAGTAACCCTGTGTGACAGTCACACTGCCCCCATAGGGTTTCCTAGCCTGTCTTATAGGAACAGATCACCAGATATTTCTCCCATAGGGCCGTTGGGCGGGTTTGAACCACTGACCTTTTGGTTGGTAGCCGAGCGCTTAACTGTTGCATCACCAGGATATGTATGTAGGGAGCAGCCTTTCAGGCAGAGGGGCCCGGAGATACAGAGGCCCTGAGGCAGCCTCATAGGCACAAAGGAGTCACAGGAGACGTGGTGAGAGCCCAGAGAGTACAAACAGGCCAGAGCTCTGGGAGGGTTACGGGCAGAGGAGTCATGTGAATAAACATTCCGGTCTCCCGGTCCTTTCTGCCTTTTTAATAAAGGGGGCTTGGCGTCACCAGCTCCCAGACTAACACAGGTCCTAAGAATAGCTGACATTTCTGGAAAGACTCACAGTGTGCCGGCCGGTGCCCTTTTTTATCATGACCTCATTGCATACTCAGCACAAACCTCTGAGGTCAGTTCCAATTTTATCCCCATCTTACGGGTGAGGTACTGAAGCCAGACAGGGCCAGCCACCTGCCCCCAGGCCACACACTTAATGCCAGGCAGTAACCTGGGCCTCTGGGTCCCCATGCTCCAGGCCCAGGCTTCCCCTGAGGCTGGGTGGCCGGTGGCCTGTGTGTGATGTGGCTCCTCTCTTCCTCCCAGGGACACGGCCAACACGGTGAAGGAGAAATTCGGAAGGAAGCTTTATGAGTCATTGCTGGTGTGAGTGTCCTACCCTGAGCCCTGCACCCTCGTGGGTTCCGACCTTTCTCGTCACCCCATTCCAAGATGCATGCCCCCGCCCGCCCTGCAGGGGGAGCCTCCCGGACATGAACAAGATGCTGGACAAGGAGGACTTCACCATGATGAAGAGAGCCATCTTTGCCACGCAGGTTTGGACCCTGAGCAAAGACGGTAGTTCCCAGCACCCCCCAGGCAGCCCACCATGCTGCCCCTGGGTACTTTATTCCACCGGCTCTCAGCCCCACACACCCTTGAGGCTGTAGTTTCTTTCTTTCTTTCTTTTTTCTTTTTAAGTGTGATTTGGGTGAAAGTTTACAGAGCAAATTCACTTTCCATACAGCAGTTCACCTACACTTTGTCTCATGACATTGATCACAGTTTCCCACAATGCAACAGCTCCCCTCCTACTTCCTCCCCATAGTCACCTCTTCCCTGTGTCCATCCCTCCATACACTCCTGCCCCCTGAGCTGTCTCCCTGTGCATAAGCAGCCCTCCTTTCTCCCATGATTGTTCTCTCCAAGGAGTGTATCTACTTGAGGTAAATGTTCAACTCATATGCCTGTCTATTGTTTGGCTGGAAGCCACAGGTGTGGGTTCAATTCCAGACTTGAAGGGCAGCTAGGGGCCATAGTCTCAGTGGTTCTACCAGGCTCTATCGGACAAGAAACCTTTCTTTTAAGTCCTCCAACAACCAAAAAAAACAAACTCACTGCCATCAAGTAGATTCTTCTGACCCTTAGTGACCCCGTTGGGTTTCCAAGGCTGTGAGTCTTTATGGAAGTAGATTGCCCCATCTTCTTTCCATGGAGCAGCTTGGTGCGTTTGAAATAAATTACCTTCTGGTTAGCAGCCAAATTCCATATCCACTCGCCACCAGAGCTCCTTTTTAACTCCTGATGATGTTGTTGTTTACTGCTGTTGAGTCTGATCTGACTCATAGAGACCCCACCTTGGGTTTCTGAGCCAGTATCACTACAGAAGTAAGTTGGTCAACCTTCCTTCCGAGGAGTGGCTGGTAGTGTTTGAACCGTCAGCCTTCTTGTTAGCAGTCAAGTGCCTTAGGCACTGTGCTACCAGAGCTCCTCAAGGCACTGCTAGGTGGGTTCAAATACAGCCCTTTCATTGTAGCCAATAGCAAATTGTGCCACCCAGGGGCCTTAGAAAGAAGGCCTGGAAAAACCTTTACTAAGAGAAATGATGGGGTGGCTGCAAAAAACTACAATGTCCAGCAGTCCCTGAGGTTTCCTAGCACATTAGTTCTGCCTTGCCCCAGAGACTCTTGGGAACTGTGGTTTGGGCCACTGTTGGGGTTGGGGGAATGACAGGACTGAGACTGTAGAGAACCTGGAGATGAAGGGGGAAACAGAGCTACCATAAGAAAACTACAACTCCCAGCAGCCCCAGAGGCTTGCTACCATAGTGATAGTCTTGGCCCCACATAATGCTGGGAGTTGTAGTTTGTTTTTTTAGGCGCCAGAACTAGGACAGAATAAGACAGTTACAACGCCCAGCTGTCTGTGGGGGCCTCTTAACAGTGAGTTTTGCCTCAAAGATGTCTGAGAATC